CGCAGAGAGGGCAGCACCGGAGCCGCCCCGCGGGACTGTCCCCAAGGCAGTGCACGTGGTCCCTCCATCCGTGCAGCTGTGGAGCCCACTGAGTCACGGCCGGTCTCCTGGAAAGGTTGAATGCGTGCTGTCAGGGCCAGTCCCAGCCTGCCCAGCCCGGTGGCCACTCTGTCCTCACGCCTCAAGAGGGGCCCAAGACTCACGGTTCTGGTTCCGAAGGCGGATGGGCCAGACCAGCAGGCTGCAGAGCACCAGGGTGGCGGCCACGCTGACGCCGCCCGTCACGGCCACCATGACCCAGTGGTAGAAGCCCGTGCAGGCCTTGCAGCACAGCTCTGAGCTGGGGACCGAGGGGCAGGGGGTGAGTGACCCCCCACACATACACACACCCAGCAGCTCAGCCTTTGAAGTCCTGGCCTGCAGGTTCTCCTGGCCTCGGTCTCCACCTGGTCCTTGACTCCCACCCTGGCCCCTCACAGCACCTTCCCCAAAGCAGCCACCAGAGGGCGCCATGAGCACCAAGTCAGATCCTCCCCCCTCTGCCTCTCAGGCCTCCACCCCCCCACCCCCCGCCCCAGAGCCCAAGTCCTCCCTGCAGCCCACAGGACCCTGCAGGACCCGCCTGTCCCCTCCTCCCTCTGCCCCAGCCCCATATGCTCCTCCTGCCCCAGGGCCTCTACACCGGCTCTGCCCTCTGCACCGGCCTAGAACTCCCACTCCCCCTGGCCCCTGGGGAGCCCTTCTCAGCTTCCTGCTGGTGGAACCGGCCTCCCCAGGTTGTCCCTCCCCACCCCCACCCCCAGACTCAGTTGTGCATCTCATTTCCAGTTACTGACGAGGCTGACATCACCCTCAGCTGCGTGAGGGCAGGGGACCAGGCTGGCTTTGGCGTCAGGTACCAGGACAGTGCTGGTGCCACCTCTGGAACCATGCCCGTCTAGAACTGAGTTTCCTGGCCCTGAGTTCTGTGGTCCTTGGGCTGCATCTGCACACCATGTCCTTAGGACCCGGCTCACGTTTGTTGGCTAAATTTTGGGATGTGGAGATCTCCCCAGCCTGAGAATCCTCCAGGGGGTCCTCTGTCCAAGACCGTATCGTCCAACCTACAATGCTACCTGGCAGAGAACAGGCCAGAGCCCGCCCGCCGAAGGAAGGCAGGAAGGACGGCAGGAAGGACGGCAGGAAGGACGGCAGGAAGGGCGGCAGGAAGGGCGGCAGACTCACGGGCAGGGGTGCAGGCTCTGCACAGCCATGACGGCCAGCCCATTGGCCACCTTGTCCGAGAAGCTCATGGCACCGTACACGAAGGCTCCACTTTGCTGGGGGACGCAGGGCAGGGTCAGCGCCCAGGACGCGGGTCCCAGTCCCCAGCCTCCCGGGCCCCATCCCAGCCCTACCGAGTGGGGACCGATGAGGTCGGCCGTCATGGACAGCGAGGTGACCAGGATGGTGGCGCAGCCCGCACCAAGCAGCACAGCCGCCGCGTACACCGCCACGCCCAGCCCATCGACCAGCGCCACCCAGGCAGCGAAGGCCAGGATCAGCAGGAGCCCCACAAAGTAAGTGAACTGTAGAGGGAAGGCCCGGGTGTCAGCACACACCCGTGTGTGTCCTGGGCCAGGCGCCGCGCGCTCTGGGCCTCAGCTCCAGTAGGGCAGCCCCCAAGGAGGCCCTGCTAAGACTACGTCCTGCTAAGATCAGGGCTCTTTGTGTGTGCGTGTGCGCGCCTGTCTTTTGATTTTTGACACAAGGTCTCACTGCAGCACAAGCTGGCCTCAGACTAGCTGCAATCCTCTTGCCTCAGCCTCCTGAGTGCTGGAATGACAGGTGTGTGCCCCCATGTCCAATTAGACACGTGGCTCTTTATGTCCACACGCAAGTGCAAGCCAGGCGTGAGTCCTGTCTCAAAAACTCCAAAAAAGCTGGGGATTTAGCTCAATGGTGTTGCTGACTGCCTTGCAAACAAACGCAAGGTCCTGAGTTCGATTCCTGATACAAAAGGGGCTGCAAATCCATTAAAATGAGAGAAAACCTAGGATTCTGATCCTTGTTCCAAGTGCTTAGCTCAGAACAGCCTAGAAAGTTCTAGAACTCTGGACCCCCCAGAGCTGAGAACCCAGGTGCTCAGAAGACAGGATATTAGATTCTTTTCTTTTTGTTGCACTGGGGATTACCCCAAGACCTTTGCACTAAGCTCCATCCCTAGCCCCCCCCTTTTTTTTTTCATTGAGACAGGGCCTCACTAAGTCACTGGTTTGAATTTGAGATCCTCCTGCCTCAGCCTCCCAGGTACGGATCACCACACCCAGTTAGAATCTAGGGCTCTTTTTTTTTTTGGTACCAGGGACTGAACTCGGGACCTTCTGCTTGTTGTAAAGCAGGCAGCAGAACCACTGAGCTAAATCCCCGGCCCAGAATCTAGGATTCTTGACTCCCAGATCTTGGCTTCTCCTAGGCAACGTGTCCCAGGCCTCCCCCATCCCCTGGCTACTCACATTCCTCCCGATGGACCTGTTGAGGGGCTTCATGAGGAAGGAGGAAAAGAAGCCACTGAGGTACATCACCAGAGGGATGGTCGCAATGAACCGCTGGCAGGACACAGGGAGGGTGGGGGGTTTAGATGCAGTGCAGGAGCCCAGGGGCCAGCCAGTCCCCCTCCCACTGTCTCATCCAGCTCACCTTGGGCAGGTGCAAGGAGTAGGTGAGGTACATGGCAATGTAGGTCTGGGACAGGTTCACAATGAGCCTCGTGGTCATGTACAAAATGCCTACCTGTGGACAGATCAAGAGAGGGACAGGTAGGGGCACTTGGGCCATGGCTCCCGTAGCTGGCCTGAGCCATTAGTAGTGACTGCCCAGCTGGCCAGGCAAGAAGGAGAGTGGTGATCGGTGACTGACTAGTAATGTCTGTCCTGAGCGGCTGGATTAACGTCCGCCTCAAGCAGTGATCGGCGATTAGTCAGTAATGTCTGCCCCAGCACAGGTGTGGAAAACAGGTATATTCGCTGCTCTCCTGCCATGCTGGAGGCGACAGCGCCAGCCAGAGAATGAGCGTCCCCAGCAGCCCTGTGCATCCCCCGCGACATACCTGGTAGAAGGCAGGCTCCCGGAGCCAGTGTTTCCAGAGCAGCAGGGGCCCAGTGGCTGAGGAGATCAGGGGACTGTGTTCATCTGGGTCCTCCACCCGCCTAGGCCGGCGCCGCTCACGGGTGCCCAGGTGAAACAGCAAGGAGAAGACGGCTCCCACTCCTACCACTGCCAGGGACAGGTTCTGAGCACAGAACACGGGGTCAGCAACGGCTGCCCTGGCTTAGGGTACCCTGGGTGGCCACCCCGGCCCCAGCTCACCCGGAACACGGGAACATCTTGGGCGCCCAGCTGGTCACCCACGGTGATGTCCTCGGGGGCCCCTGTGTGGGAGGAGGCCTGCAGGTGCAGCAGCAGCCAGGCGGCCCCGTAGACTGCGATGTTGGCCACCACGGTGAAGGCGTACCTGGGGGTTGGGGGGCCTCAGCACAGCAGAGGCGCTGCGCAGCCACTTCTGGGGAACCCCTGGCTGGGGGTACCTTCGGCCACTGACACACTGAATGGCCCCAGGGAAACGCCTGCCTAGTTACCCCTGCCTGTACCCTAGGTCACATACAGACCCCAACACTGAAAATCCAGAGTGCAGGAGCCCTCAGGGCAGGGACTCCATGGTTTAGATCCATCCAGGAAGGAAGCTCTGACCTGAGACAAGACTAGCTTCCCTTTTTGTTTTATTTTCGGCAGTACTGGGAACTGAACCCAGGGCCTTAAAACTGAGCCACATGCCCAGCCTTTTTTATTTTTATTTTGAGACAGGATCTCACTTAAAACAGGATCTCAAAGTTGCCCAGGCTGGGTTCAAACCTGGGATCTTCCTGCCTCAGCCTCCTAGAGTGCTGGGGTGATAGGTATGTACCACCATGGCTAGCCTCAGCCCAGCCCAGCAGCATCAGCTTGAGGCTTTCACGACGCTGGGCACTGAGCAGTGCTGTCCCCAGGGCCTGAAATTCCTGGGGCCACAATGGGGAACTCAAAAGGGGCACTGGATGGGCAGAGCTGGGGACAGACAGGCTGGTTTCGAGACGGGGTCTTTCATGAAGATGCAATTCAAACCCTGGCTTTGGGGCCTGGGGTACAGTTCGGTGGTGCTTGTCTAGCATGTGCGAGGACTTGGGTTCCTTCCCCAGCTCTACGAAAGTGAAAGAATAAAGCAAATTGCCCGGTGGGCCTGACTTAATCAGGTGATTCTTCAAAAGACTGCCTAAGGCCTCCTTGAGGGCAGAGATGCCCCTCCTGGCTCCAAAGAAACAGCAAAGTGCTGTGAGTTCCATGGCAGCCAGAACACAAGTTCTATCACCAAGGAGGTGAGCACAGAAAGGAGGCCCTGCCCAAGCCTTGCGTGAGACCACAGCCCCGACTAGCACCTCGATCAGACAGCCTCACTCAGGAAGGGGCCCCTGGCTAAGCCGGGCTCGACCCCGACCCACAGAACAGCGGGATGAGACCGAGTGTTGCTTCCTGCTGCTCCCTCGGAGACCACATGCACGATTCCCGTCCCCAGCCAGGCCCAGCCCGGCTCCCGGCCCCACCCCGGGTACCTGAGAGCTGTGAGCTCCACCTTTTCGTGGTCGCTGGTGACCAGCTCCGGGATGAGGCTGAGGTGCGCGATCTGGGTGGCGGCCCAGCCGAACTGGAAGACCACGATGAAGGGCCCGTAGTACAGCAGCGCTGCCCACTCGGGGGTGGACGCCCCGCAGCCCAGGCACGGGCTGAAGATGAAGGGGAACGAGAGCAGGACGCAGACGGTACCTGCGACAGAGGGAGGGGTCACACACAGAGCTCCCTCACTGGCTCATCACACCCCAGTGCTCCCCAGCTCCCTTGTGACAAAGAGGAAAAGCAGAGCAGAGCTGAGATCACGGTCAAAAAGGACAAAGCAGGGCCGGGGATGCAGCTCAGTGGTTCCACCACCTGACCTGGAAGCACAAGTCCTAAATTCGATCCCTGGTACCAAAAAAGGAGAAAGCCATTCATACCACAGTCAAGTCAAGTGGGGAAACAGAGGCACAGAGCAGCCTGGAAGAGTCCTGAGGTTGCAACCTGTCACTGCAGGGTCCCCTAGAGGGCTACCGAAGCCTTGTCCTCCCCAGATCCAGCACCCATGGGGAATCACCAAGCAGCCAGGGCTCCCACAGGGTTCTGGGAGGGCCCGTGTGCCCTATGAGCTCAGAGGGAACATGAGGCCCCTGGGATAGTCTGCCAGAACCTCCATCCACACTCAGAAAGAAAACCTCAGGATGATGGCAAAAGCAGATGAACTGCTCCCCCAAAAAGAGTCGGGCATGGTGGTGCACGCACTGGGAAATCCCAGTGCTCGGGAGGCTGAGGCAGGAGGATCGCTGTGAGTTCGAGACCAGCCTGGGCTACATAGTGAGTTCCAGGTCAGTCTCCACCACATAATGAGACCCTGTCTCAAAACAAAAAAAAAAGTAAATGAGGGCCTGTCCCTCCTCTGTCCCCAGCTGGCCACAGCTCCAACTTCCCTGGGGCCAAAGCCAAAGTCCTTCCTGCAGCCCACAGAACCCTGCACAGCCCGCCTGTTCCCTTCCCGCCTCCCCCACTGTCTCCCTGCCCCTCACTCCCTCTGCTCCAGCCACATAGGCTCCTTCCTGACCCTGCACAGCTCTGGGCTTCATGGTGCCCCAGGGCCTTTGCACAGTTGTACATTCCAGGAATGCTCTTCTCTTATATATTAACAAGGCTGGTTCCTTTCTCTGGCTTTTGGCTCCCATGTCACCTCCTCAAAGAAGTTCTTCCTGAGCAGCCTTGTCACCTACAGTCCCTTCTGGCCCTGGGCCCTGCTATCTCCTTTGCAGCCCTTAGCACACCCCTAACTTCTTTGTCTGCTTGTCTCCTGCTTCCCCACCAAAGAGAGGGCTCCCTGGCCGAGTACAGGGCTCTCGCAGCCCCGATTACATCTGGGCACTTAGCAACCGAACCAGGGCCTCTTATCAACAGCCCAAAATGTGCTCTCGCCCCATTTTCCAGATGAGGAGACTGAGGCACACTGTGACAGAGAGCGAGAGAGAGAGAGAGAGAGAGAGAGAGAGAGGGCGCTGAGAATCCAGCCTGCTGGGCGGACCCTAGGCAGGGATCCTATGTCCAACATACAGTGCTCACCCCTCTCTCTGGCCTGGAGCCAGGCACCTGGACTTCCTCCCTCCCCAGGGAGGCGACCTCATCCCCACTCTGCCCTCTGCAGCATGAGATCAGGAAGTGAAACTAGACCACCCCTGCTTTTTAGAGCCACCTGCTTCTCTAGAACTGGCCCTGGCCACCCCCTGGGGACCAGGGTAGATTCCAGGGGTCCTGCAGGCTGCTCTAGGCGCAGACCACAAACTGTGAACTGCAGTCGGGAAAATTTTCCTCTCCGGCCACATTCCACCCTGCTGTGGCCTAGTCCTATTAACCACTGTCCAGGCCAGGTTGGCTGACTGGGGGACCTTGGGCAAGTGGCTTTGCCTCTCTGAGCATCAGTTTCTGTTTCCACTACTTGGAATGCCGCACCCCCCCTTCCCCAACTCTTACTTATCCCTCAAAACCCCAAAACTACTGTGCGCTCTTCCTCCTATAGCCCACCCTCACCATCTGGCCCAGTCCACAGTGGGCCTGTGTGGCTCAGAAGAGCCTCCAAGGTTGGCAGGGAATCCTGGAGGGCTCGGTAAGGGAAAGAAAGAGTCCATCTTCACCACCCAGACTCAGGGGTAAAGTAGAGAAGTGGGCATCAAGCCACGTCACTAACTCAGGCATCACAATGGGCTGCCCTGGCTTCCTCTTGCAGCCAGTCTCCCTGTGTGCTCACCTGAGGAGGGAAGGGGGGTATCAGGTCAAGGCCTCACCCCAGCCCTGCTGTGCGCAAATGTAGCTCTTCTGCAGGCTCCCCTCAGGGCCTGTCACCTATGAGGAGCCTCAGGCTGCTCCCCTGCACCAGACAGGCAGATCCTACCTCTGGGCCTTTGCACATGCAGTGCCCGCTACCAGCGATATCCAGAGCAGCCTGGCCCAGATGACAGCCCCTGCCTCTGTCTACCCTGCCTGGCAACCAATGTCTCCTATTTGCCCCCAAGTTTCCCTAGTGACCAGGAGCAGAGTTGTATGTGGGGCTCCACAGCTCTGCAATGGACCCTGACAGCCAAACTGTAGGAACAGTACAGCTGTCCACTTTTCAACCCAGGAACAGCCCCCCATCTTGAAAACTTGATAATCTGGACTGCAACCAGAGTAGGCCAGCTGTTTCCAGGTGATCGGCTGTACCTTGCAAAAACAAAAACCACTCCTGAAGGAGGGCCGTGTCCAAACACCGCCCCAGAACAAGGAGGGGCCAAGTGTCCCCTCCTGGCTTCCAGACAAGCACAGCCTGGAATCCCAAGGAGTGGCCAGGGTTCCGGGCCCTGTCCTGAAACACCCCATGAGCCTCGGGTTCCAGGATGTGGGGGGGCGGTGGGCTCATCTCTAGGCGCTGCGGCCACCTTATCAGGGCTCCAGGGCAGTGACCCAGGCCATCGCGGACACTCTCTGTCTCCCTTAACCAGAGCCACAGGCCCCACCACGGTTGGACAGAAGGGGAAACAAGGACCTCTCCAGGGCCACCCAGCCCAAATCCCACCTCCCGGCAGCGCCCCCAAGCCTCTAAAATACCGGGTGCCCCAGACGGGCGGGAATGGGCACGAGTGCCCTGGGACACAGACAGAGGTGGTGCCGGGCAGCCGGACAGGGAGGCTGGGCCGAGGACCACACGTAGGGGACCCAGGGCAGTTACACAGATCCGTAGGTTGGCCAGCCTCGGGGGCAGTGGGCAGCTGGACAGACGCAGAGGCTGAGGCCAAGGGGCAGCTGGGGAGGCTCGGATGGAAGGGCAGGCGGCCAGGGAGACGGACGGAGGAGGTCACGGGACAAAACGACAGCGGGAGCCCTCGGGTCGTATGCCGGGCCGAGGAGGCGCGGCACTGGAGGCGG